TTCTTATTCTTATTCTTATATTATATTCTTATTCTTAATTCTTATTCTTATTCTTATGTATATATGTTGAGCGTTCCGGACAGACAGACAGACGGACAGATATGTCTTGACTATTCTTATATGTAATCACGTATCTTTGCTTTGTTTGTAAAGTGGTGACATGAAGAACTGAAGTAAAGAAAATTTTGGCACTTAAAGATCTAAATTTGAAGGCCTCAAATATTGTGTAATCCTACGGTTTTCCGCAACTCAAACTGCACATCGAAAAATTCTAACTGAGGATAAAATTTTCCGAAAACCGCCTTTTCAATTCGGACTTTTTGATAGCCAAAAGAGCCTAAAAGGTTTCCCTTACATTTTCCCTCCGCTTCCCTGTTCGACATTTTCCAAGCATGAATAAATAAAATAGGGGGAATAAGTACTGCTCAAATTTTCTGCTGCGACATCGGCCATTAGCCTTCCACTATCAATTTCCAATTCAGGTTTGGTCGGGTTTGCCCAGAAATCTGTTAGTGCAAATATTGCCCATACACCTTGAAATGCCTGACGCACATCGTCACGCTTTTGAAGATCACATTTAATTAATTCAATGTCCGCACTACTGCCGAACTCTTGTTGTAATCTTTGTGATTTTGATGAGGACGGATCACGTGTTAGACAACGTATCTAGATTTCGAAGGATGACGATGAAAAAGGATTTAGAAGCGAAACAGATTACATACCTTGTATTTTCCAGTTTCAACCAATGCACGTACAACAGCACCACCTAAAGAACAAACACACAAATGCAATTTAAATGCGGTTTTCAGACTTAATTTTCGTTTTAACGTGTTTTCTATGAGAATACGCATTTTCACACGGTTTGCTGATGAAAATCTGTGTTTCTTAACGCTATTCAGACTGAAAAATGTTTCTAACCATTTTTTATAGCAAAATACCCAGTTATAAGTTAAAATATTTCTTTTTACTATGAAAAACGGTGAGAATTCGAATTTTCCTCGGCAAAACGTATATAAAAGCGTTGTTTCTTTCATAAAAACTCGTTAAAATGAAAACTGAGTGTAAAATTCGCGTTTTTGCGCGTATGTTTTCGTGAGCCAGCCCTGCATTCTTCTGTCTGTTACCTTGTGCTCCGGTTGCGCCACAAACTACAATAACTGGTGGTTTGTCATCACACATAATTACTAGTTCTGTGTTGTTTCTATATAAGTAATAATATAAATGCACGTTTATTATAACACCTTTCTTTTACAAATAGAAATGGATATATTTAAAAAAAAAGAAAAAATGCAGAAAAAAAATGTTATTTTGCTCTGTTACTAAGCCTCTAGCATTCAAATAGAGATATACATCTCAGATATATGTTCGTTGACATTTGCTTTACATTTGTCACGTTTTCTTTCTCGGTACAAGAAAGAGAGAAAAGAGAACAGTTATAGTCACGCATTTTGTTCTTCCATTGACAAAATGGCGGAACAGAAAGAAAAAGAACAGAAGTTTAGTCTGGCATATTTGAATAGACGCATAGTAAAGTATACCCAAGTTCACCTTCTTCCTTCATTCGCATCGCGAACGCGGTCCTCGCTCCGTGATCGAGCTAAAATCGCACAACTCGTGTCACGATAGCTAAAAAGTTATCGTGATGCGATCGCGAATAATTCTTATTTTTGAAAAAAATTGTAATTCGCGATCGCCACGTGACACTTTTTTCTTACAGCGATCGTGAAGTCGCGCCGCGATCGCTAAAAAGGCGCTATTGTCGCGGCACGACCGCGATGAACTCTTACGTTTTGAAAATTTGTAATTCGCGATCACTGTAAGAAAAAGTGTCATGTTGCGATCATGTTTTTTTCTTACAATCGTGACATGATAAAGCGCCGCGGCGCATCTCCTATTCGCCGTTTTGTTTTGTTTTGCTTTGCTTATGCACGTGGTATATAACTCTCACTGATTTTTCGAAAAATTTTCAAAATATTATCACATCTTAATAACAGCTTACGGCATTACATATAAGAATAGTCAAGACATATCTGTCCGTCTGTCTGTCTGTCCGGAACGCTCAACATATATACATAAGAATAAGAATAAGAATTAAGAATAAGAATATAATATAAGAATAAGAATAAGAA